ATATTTTGACAGCCAGTTCCACCAGTTTATGAGGTACGTCCGATTGGGTGCCAGCATTCTGGGGTTTCCTCAAGAAGTGTTGGAAGATTTGGGGGCTGGAATTCAGGATGGTTGAATTTGATCAGTTGAGACTAGAATATTTATTTATCAATTTTATAACTTGGTTTTCTGGCCCTGATTCATGAGAGCAGCCTTTTTCAGGACCAAGCTTAAATATCGCTTATATGTGAGCATGTGCTTCATAGATTCCAGGGCCAGAAGGAACCATTGTGGTCATCTAATCTGACCGGAATAACAGAGGTCCTAGAACTTCCCCAAAACAATTCCTAGAACAAATCTTTTAGAAAAACATCCAGACTTGATTTTAAAATTGTTAGCGATAGAGAATCCACCATGACCCTTGGTAAGTTGTTCCAATGGTTGGTTAATTCTCACTGTTAAAAATTTTTTTATGCCTTATTTCCAGTGTGAATTTGTCGAGCTTCCAGCCATTGGATCATGTTATAACTCTCTGCTAGATTGAAGAGCCCATTATTTAATATTTGTTCCCCAAGCAGGTATTTACAGACGGAAATCAAGTCACGCAGTAACCTTCTCTTTGTTAAGCTAAATAGGTTGAGCTCCTTAGGTATATCTCTATAAGGCAGGTTTTCTAATCCTTTAATCATTCTTGTGGCTCTTCTCTGCACCCTCTCCAATTTATCTGGAGTTGTGGACACCAGAACTGGACACAGGATTCCAGCAGCAATTGCACCAGTGCCAAATACAGAGGTAAAATAAACTCTCTTCCGACTCTAGATCCCCCTGTTTATACAGCCAAGGATCGCATTAGCCCTTTTGGCCACAGCATCCCGCTGGGAACTCCTGTTCAGCTGATTATCCACTATAATTATCCACAGAGCCGCCGCTTCCCAGGTTAGTCTCCCATTGTGTAAGTGTGGCCTCCATTCTTTGTTCCTAGATGTATACAATTACATTTAGCCATATTAAAAAAGATTTGCTAGTGCCCAGCTTACCAACCAATACAAATTGCTGTGTATCAGTGACATATCCTTTTCATTATTTCCCATTCCCCCAAATTTTGTGTCCTTCCCAAACTTTATCAGTGATGATTTTACGTTTTCTTCCGGGTCCTTAATAAAAATGTTACATTGCACAAGGCCAAGAACCAATCACTGTGAGGCCATACTAGAAACACACCGATTCAGTGATGATTCCCTAGTCACAATTACATTTTGAGACCTATCAGTTAGCCAGCTTTTAATCCATTTGATGTGTGCTATGTTAATTTTATATCTTTCTAGTTTTTTAATCAAAATGTCATGTCTATCACACTGACCATTAATTTTGGTTAACATTGGACTGCCTGGATCAAAATTTGCCTTGGTTTATACCGAGCACGATCCAACTGATCTCAATGAGACTGCATATCAGAGCAGAATTTGGTGCTATGTGTCCTACTGAAGCTTTCTGCTGCTTTTGCTCGTTGATTTAAAAAAAAACAACACACAGAGATGAAGCTTGAAAGCAGAAAAGCTAAGAGTAACAGCAGTTGATTTTTTCCCCCCCAGTGCGCTCCTCATGAGAGTGGGGGAAAGAGAAGCTGATGGGTTGACAGGAAAGTCACAATGGGCCATGATGTTTAATGACAAACAGCAATGGAAATCTTCCTGAGAAACACTACATTGCAGGGGGGGAAAGGACATTTGAGTCACCCTCACTCTGGAATTTTAAAGCTTTCAGGGTGACTTGACCTGATTTCAGGTAGATGGCTTATGTTATGGAGGGCTCTCCATAGCAATTACAATGCTGGTTTTAAACAATAAAGTCCAGAATGAGAAATGTTTTTAAATTAAAACTTTCAGAGGCAGAAGCTGCTTGTGGTAGCAAAAGGAACATAAGAAATGGTGGAAATAAGATGGAATAAGTATTGTCATTTTTTAAAACTTGAACCAGATAAACCTGCTTTAAGGGAATGGCTAGTGAACTCTATGAGGTTATTTTTGTTATACTGTCACTTCACACTCAAGCCTGGTCTAGCCCAAGCTGATCTAGAAAAGGATACTCCGTATCCTCATTATTTTAAATTCCTTTTTAAGTTTCCTACCAACTACTTATCTGTCAGGCAGAAATGCAGGTGGTATCTCTGAGGCTGACCACTCTGCCACACCAAGATTAGCCAGCAGGAGGCACACTTCACCTCACCTCTGAAGAGCCGAGTTACTGGGCGGACATTTGACCATAGAAGTTTATCAAGTGTTTACAGCTGTCGGTGTCCTTGGGCTTCTAAAGCATTCCCGCTTGATCTGCAGTTTCTGTTTTAGCTGTTAGCTACATTTTAACTCTTGCCTGACAGTTTGTTATGGCAAACTCAGTACCCCAAGGTAGAGGATTCAAATCACTCTCTAGCAACAGCAGCTCATCAAGGAATGGGGTTTTATCAGCCCCATCCAGTGCTATCACTCTTTGCGTTGTGCCCAGCTCCCAGGGAAAAAATGGTGTTCATGAGCACACACAGATGTATCTGATGGAACAATATATTTGACTATTTTCAGAGTGGATACAGCATTTCTGGAGAAAAAGGGTAAATCCATCTGGGTGCAGGGAGGGGGAGCACACTACTGTGCATTTGCCCAGGTAGTCATTCTTTGCAAACAGCTGAAAACAGCTTTTCATGGCAAAATGGCCATTCAAAAGAACAAAAAATGATTCCACTCACATTGCCAAATAAATAAATACATTTAAAACCCCCCCAGTGGTTTTGCCAGCCTATTACTGGTAGCTCTGGTTTCTACAGTATTTTATAAAGTGTCATATGGATTACAATTACTGTACATTGTTTAAAAAATAAAAAAGCAACTGTTGGTGGCAATTTTCATTTCACCCAGTGGTGAAAACCACTCCTCTGAAGAGAACTGGTTTGTACAAAACAAGTAACCACAAAATCTTTGTTTCCAATTCCCAGAATCCAGTCATGAGTCTGGACTCAGGAGACACTACTTGAGCAGGATAATGGAGGAACACAATGCTCAGTGGATATGGTGAATGCTTAATAAGTGATTTTACTCATAGACAATGACAACTCTGCTAAGTACTCTTCACTCAAACCACAAGCTATATGATATGTGACTAAGAGCTAGTTAAACAACTATTAAGTTCTCATTGTGTAGCTAAGTTCTTGCTCTGATAACCATGCTAACTGATACAGTGGTTAATATAATATATTTTGAGTTGATATCCAAGCTCCAGGCCACCTTGTTTATCACTACACGATTCAGAACTGATGTTTCTAAAACCTACACTAGAAAGTTACCTGTTCCTGACAATGGATGTCAGCAGGGGCAGCTGAACTGCCGCCGAACGTGGTTTAGATGGTAGTATGGCTAACGACAAGCCACACTGCACAGATTTAGCTGCACCCGGTGTCAGCAGTAGTCCATTTGGTAATGTAGACAAGCTGTATAGGGATTGCAGCTCAGCACCTCTGGTCAGATTCTGAGCTCTCAATTACACCACTGTAAAACTAGACTTTAAGCAGAAAGGAGGCGTGAGATGGATTAAATGTTTTTCCTTCTAGCTTTCTTCTTCATCACCTTAGTAATTACTGTATGTGACTCCAAAGAAGCTGAACTGTTTTACACCAGCTGAGGATCTTGCCCATAGTTCCCAATCCCGCTAATATTCACAAATTTGGGTAACTTTACTCACCTGCAGTTAAACTAATTTACATGAATGGGACTACTCACGTGCAAAAGCACCCACAAAAATGGGCCCTTATTATGAATTTTTTTACTTTAACTGGTTTTTATTTTTTCTAAAGAAAAAAATCGTCTATTAACGTAATTATTGATTTATTGTATTTTCAGAGCCTGCAACAGTAGTTGCATGTTCCAGTAGTCAGAGATAAAATGCCCAACTGGAGTTTAGAATTTCAAAATCCAGGGGATGGGCATAAGCTTTCCCATCCTGGTAATGTGTCTTAGGGACTGCCATAAAATTCTTCAGGCCTCGATCATCTCCTGCAGTAAAACCCACAAGATGGGTCTCTATGGGAGAAAATCTCGATGAGGATTCACCTCCTGGAGTTCTCCTGTTCTGTCTGGGGCTGGAGGTTGCCTCATGGAATGAGCTGTGGGGCCAACCCCCAAACTGAGGCGATCCCCAGAAAGTGGGCCTCTGCTCCAACTCTGGCCCCTCTTAACTGCACCCTGCAGTTCCCAGCACTGCAATTCTAATGGAGCTGCATAGCCTGGGACCTCAGCCCCATCACATGCAGTCCACAGGACCTGCCAAGGGTTATTGAGGCTTCATCAAAAAGATAATATAGCCCATCTATGTTCTCTTTTCTGCCTAAGGTCTGTGGGGCCAGAGTAGGGGGAAGGCAGTGTAATTGTCTGCCCCTTCTCCTTGTGTGGACCCCAGACCAACAGAATAGCCTCCGTGGGTCCCCAAGGAGTGGGGTGCTCCATGGGGCCACATGCACCCTGTGGGCAGGAGGAGACCCCTCCATGTAAATCAAAGAGAAATTAGTCATTTACAGATCTGATCATTGCCTGAAAGGAAAGCTACAGCAAATCTGTATTGATTAGTTCAAAGTTGTGTGAAATCCTGAGTGCTCCAGGCTGATTACACAGCATCTAACTCTGTGAAGCATTCAGTCTCCATCCTCGTGTTCCACTATTCAGGAAATGCTGCAAAATGCCATTTATTACCAACATAGCAATAGACCAAATGGATGGATAAGTGTTCTAGTTGCTGTCTGTGGATATAACTAATGGTTCCATGTCTTACTACATCAGTCTTTTCCTCTGGTTCAAGTCAGGATTGTGACTTTTTCCTTCCCTCATCCTTCTCCCCACAGGTGCTGGAACAATTTATATAGTGGGGGTGCTAAGAACCATATAACCAAACTGTAAACCCTGTATATAATGGAAACCACTTCAAGCCAGGGGGTGTGGCAGCACTCCTAGTTCCAGCACCTATTCTCTTCCCCACAAAAAGAAAAGAACTTGTGTATTTCTTGTTCTTTAAAAATTAGTGTACGCTAATGTTAAGGGGGTGAATAAAATTATTTTACTGAAAGTTTGTCCCACTCAAGCTGGAGACGATACACTAATAGGTTTGTCATCACATACAGTAAATCAGTAAATTTACAAGAATGCTATAGAAGATTCCAGTGTGAGCTGTATATATGATGATTTAACTTTACTGTACAAACCCAAGCTCTAATCAGGAGAAACCTCTGAATCACAGAATGAAAATGTAGTATGGGTCCAGAGTACACAATAAAGCAACCACATGCATTTCTGTAACTTCTGATTTGTAAAGGTTACAGAAGGCCAGTCAAAAACACATACTGCCTGCTAGTCATCTGTTTTCTGTTATGGTGAGCAGTTTTAGGATATAATCAATAGAAATGGCATTTTTTTTCACTACTAGCTGCTTTGTTCCATGTTATTTTAAAGTAATTATCAATTGGTGTTTCCACTTCTAAAGACAGTAATAGAGCCCGTGAAAAGGATCGTGTGACATGTACACACTTGTTTTAGTTTGGTGTAAAGCAAGACCCCCAAAAAAAGGATATAAAACACATGGAGAAGGGTATTCAATATAAAAGCCTCTTTGCCAAATTCCAAATTCATTGGACAATCTGGTAAGCACTCTTCTATCCATTGTTCCCCGACTCTGAATCTGTAAAGCGGAGAGAAAAAGAGACTACTTAGAATTCCTCCCTTCGTAGAGGGGAATAATATTCAGTGAATGCAGCAACCTAAAAATTATTCTTTTAAACGCATACAGCAAAGCACAAGCAGGAATAACTAGGCAAACTCTCATTGCCGCTTCTCAGCACTACCAGGAGTTCAATTTTGCTGTTGGACATGCCGAGGCAGCTCCCTCTGAAGTCAAATGGAGTTATGCATGCCTATCTGAGGGCAGAGTTGGGCCCCCAAAGTGCAAAATGGGCACATTGCTTGACAATGCCTTGGGACTTACACAGTTTGAATTACTGTGGGAAAACATGGTCTTGTGGCAACAGAAAAGGATGTGCTATTCCCAAATGTTTCACAGGAAGCCTGTAGTGCCTTGGGGAGGTCATTTAACCTCTGTGCCTCAGTTTCCTTATCTGTACAATAGGGATGCTAATGCATAACTCACAGAAGTGCTGCGAAACCTCATTTGTTAAAATTTGTAAAACATTTTGAGGTCATTGGGTTGACGCTGTTAAAGAAGGACAAAGTATGGACAAAGTATTATTTTCCTAAATGGCCTTATTTATTACTTCTCAGAAGTACAAATGCAAGTGTGGTTTCCTAACGATCATGTGACTGGCAAACCCACAGATTCTGAGATATAAGTCCACTCTATTATATTAGTAGTGTTTGGCTGAATATTCTGAGCCCACTGTTTATGAAAAGGGGGTAGGCATGCAGTGGAACAGGAAAAAAGGGCTGTTTCATTGTGGGAAGGAATGCTAAAAAACCAAATTCTGCTATTACATTGGTTTAATATCATTGGAGTTAGCCTAGTCTAAATTATACTTTGGTCCTTGTTTATAATTTTTGTAAAAACTGTGGCATATTCCAAAAATAAATATAGAAACTGCTCCCATCTACTGGTATTTGAATGGTTCATTTGAAGTTCAGGCTTCAGCAGAGAAAGGCTCCATAGCTGAGCTGCTTATGAGGCAGTAACCACTCACGCTAACACAGGTAACACCTGCTGAGCAGGTTATGTATGTATAAACAAGCATCATTGTTTTCCTTTCTTGGAGCTTAAGCCAGATCAATAGTAATTAGTGTGTGCTCTGGTGGGCTGCACCAGCAAATGACAACATTAAAGCCTCTCCATGGGTTGTTATTCTGCAAGAAAACAAACCTACTGCAAGATGCCTGCTAAAATGTTCAGTAGCCTTACAACTGGTACTTGCTTCTTTAAAACTCTGGTGCTTAGAGTCAGGTATCCAAAAGACAAATGTATTTGTTCTGAATACACAAGCTACTGACCCATACAACAACAAGGGTTTAAAACTGACCTTTTAGATGTCTACATGATGCTAATGGTGGACAGCAAGTGACCATCTAGATTAGGTTCACTTGTTGAGCATAGTGGAGAGAGTGGTCTATTAGGGTACGTCTATACTTACCTCCGGGTCTGGCGGTAAGCAATCGATCTTCTGGGATCGATTTATCGCGTCTTGTCTAGACGTGATAAATCTATCCCGGAAGTGCTTGCCGTCGACGCCGGTACTCCTGCTCCGCGAGAGGAGTACACGGAGTCGACGGGGGAGCCTGCCTGCCGCGTGTGGACCCGCGGTAAGTTCGAACTAAGATACTTCGACTTCAGCTACGTTATTCACGTAGCTGAAGTTGCGTATCTTAGTTCGAAGTAGGGGGTTAGTGTGGACCAGCCCTTAGAAAGCTGCTAAATAATAAATGAGAATTGATGTCTATTTGCAATGACTTAGTCAACTGGAGACACAATGTAGTCTCATGGTCAAAGCAAAGGATTGTGAAATATGGAATCATTTTAAAAACAGGAGAATACCTATAAGACTACATGGAAAAATGTAAGGTTAAGCTTCTCTGTGTTCTGACATGCCCCACTATTAACTGTGACTCTACAAGGGAAGGAGGTGCTCAGCATGGACAGGGTTTTAGATTAATCACTGGCTGCTTTATCCCAGACAAAATGTAATGGGGATCTCTCAGGTGGAGCTGGCAGGGGAAGCTGAGATATCTGTCACAGTTTGACAATTAAGCAAATATGCTCCTCTGGGTTGGCTCTACATAAGCAATGAGCTGCTGGACTAGCAGCATATGTGAGATGAGGAAAAACGTGGAAGTCTAGTGGCAAGACAGAAAGGACTGGAAAACACTGAGCATTGAGCCATCAATCTTCAGGATTCATGGTATGTCGCCAATTTAATTAAAAGATGACTGTAAGCCTGTACTGTAGCTATTTTATATTCCAAGGACTTATAGATGGACCAGCCTAACTAAGGAGTTGGTATTTTGCTATAGTTTAGACTATTACATTCTAACTACTGGTTCAGTTAATGACGTTTAGGGGCAATAAGTGCATATGCAAAATGCAGGTTTTGCTTAGAACCAGGAATTTCTGACTGCTGAAGCCAATGCCCCAAGAAAATAGGCTCTAGGTATATTCACTGCAGGGCATGCATAGGGGAAATTGGGTGTAATTAACCTAACTAGAAACTAGGTGTCACTATAGCATGACACGATAAAACTGAAACAGTGCTGCTTTGGCAAAAACACCAAGAGATTGAATCAAGTCTGCTAGCGTCTAACCTGATGCCTACTAAGAGAGATTGGCTGTGAGCACACGTGCCATACACTATAGGTACAAGACCTGGAGTCTGCCTGTGGGTGGAATAACAAGCTGGGCAGTCAATGTTCTTCCCAGATGTTACTAGTTTTGCATCCTCATTTATATCGTGTTTATAATATTTGATATTTTTCTCTGTAGCTGATGTGTCTGAAATGGATTCAGAGTAATGACCCTTATGCACTAACAGTACAGTTATGTTTGGGGAGAAGAGAGGATGTTTTCATATATCACAATTATAACTGATAAACTGGCACTGCAAGACCATGGATAAATTTGTTGGTTGTTCTAGCAGTAGTAAAACATGTATTTAAAATATTTATTCTCGTTTGTTACCTTCTGGTTTCTCTTTAGCGATACCACTGTAAACAAGGAATCAGAACAGGTGAAAGTAGAAATGGCTTTAGCCACAAGATGGCAATGGCATGTCTTGGGGGAATGTTAACATTCTAAGGATTAACAAATCATTTGCCACAAAGTTTTTTCTCCACTTTATTTCTGTTTCACTCTACTTCTGAGATGAAGAGACAAAAGTCCTTCCTGTTGACAGAGGCATAAGACTCCCTATATACTGTAGTGTAACTTGGCAAGAATTTGCCCTCAGAACTGATGGGTTAATCTCTTCCTGTATGAGAAAGTAACCATTAGCCAGACAACTGCTCTAAATCTAAAGCTTGCTTTGTTTAAATGCTCTTTGCAACTCACAGCTGTAGGACAGAAAAGTCTTTGTGATATATGATATTATATAACATGGAGGTCAACCCCAAGGATGAAGCTAGAAACTTTACTGGAAGGAGGTTTTAAAACCAAACTGCAAAGCAAAATTGAAAACTGAGGGCTTGTCTACATGGTAGGGTAATGCACTCTACAGGGTGTTATTTCTGAACAGGGCCGGCTCCAGGTTTTCTGCCGCCCCAAGCGGGGGGGGGGGAAGCCGCAGCAGCGCAATCGCTCCGTTCTTTGGCAGCAGGTCCTTCGCTCCAAGAGGGACTGAGGGACCCGCTGCCAAATTGCCACCGAAGACCCAGACGTGCCGCCCCAATAGCAGCCGGAGTGCCGCCCTTTGGTATTGGCCGCCCCAAGCACCTGCTTCTTTAGCTGGTGCCTGGAGCCGACCCTGTTTCTGAAGCACAGTGATGCATTGCGTTGTAACTGGTCCACGTAGACCGGGGTAGTCAATTTATTTTTTGTCAAGATCCAAATTTCTTGGTCAAGGTCCAGACTTCAGAGAAACATTTTTCAGACCTCAATAACAATCATGATGATAAGTAAATAAAAGATTTTGCGGTCTGTTCTAAAGCACCTGGCAGTCCGAATTTGGCCCGCAATCCGCCTAGTCACTACCTGTGATGTAGACCTTCTAGTGTGCTTTAATGGAATGCGGTTTGAAACAGAACTTTGTTAAAGGGCACTAGGGAACCTTTAGTGTGCGCTAAAGCTCACTGTCTAAAAGACAATGGCATGACATAGTCTTAGATTTTTAATCTGAAACACTAAAAAGAACATAGTAAATTTTCTCAGCAGACCAGACTATGGAGCCCCTACTCATGTTGGTGAGCATTTACGCAGGTGACTTCAATGGGACTATTTGCATGAATAAATGCTCACTAGATTTAAGTAAGAGCTCCACATTCTAGCCCAGAGAGTTTAAGATTCTTCTGTAAGTGAAACCAAAATATTTTCTTACAGCTTGTGATTAGTCCCGTAAAAATAATCTCACTATTTGCCTTGTTTTATGTGTGGCAAAGTCTCACTTTTAGTGTTTCTTTCTAAGCCTGCATGGACAACTAAAATTTTCTGATCAATCCAAAGGAGAAAAGCCAAATGTCAGCACTCAAAAACAATGGATAAAACAAAAAGCCTTATTAAATGGATGAAGTCTTCAACGAATGAGTAACCAATCGTCCTTCTGGGTGTTCTAAAAATAGCTCATAAATGCAGCATAAAATCTTATTGTAGATCACACACACACACACACACACACACACACACACCCCCGAATGGAAGTTTTCTGCCAAAACATTAGCTTTTCCTTCATTTTCTCTCCTTATTGCTTTTGTAAAGACCTTCAATTAAAAATTCGTATACATTGGTGTGATACAAATCTTCCTGACTATTTTGTGCAACTTGAAATTCCAGAAATCATTTTTTCTGGTTTGTTAACTTCTACATCTGTATGGGTCTTAGTACTTCCTGCCACTATCTGAGGGTTAGCATGTTTAATGAGAACTAATAAGCAAGAATCTCTGAGAAGTGATTCTGAACTCCAAAAACCTACTTTCATTTTCCTCTGCTCTAGGCTGTCTTGAGAGCTATGAGAAAGGAGACAAGGATTAATAAAAATTCTCCACATTAACACTGATCAGACATACAATTTAATATACCTAGAGACTGCTATGGAAATGTCTTGAAAACACTTTAAGAAGGCATGGAAATTGTTAAAAAGCATGATAAGTGAGGAAATCACAGCACAGTTAACACTTAAGATACAAAAAATGAAGGATTATTCTTAATGTTACAATGACTTGTTATAGAATCATAGAATGTCAGGGTTGGAAGAGACCTCAGGAGGTCATCTAGTCCAATCTCCTGCTTCCCTGTGACTGTTATAAACCATCACAACCTCTGCCTGGTTTGTTATTAGACATAGCTAAAGACTTGTTTCTTTGAAGCAGTTCATCCCAGGATCAGCATTTGAGTTTGTCAGTATTGATAATATTAATAAGATATAAGGTTGCAACTTAGTTTGGGACTTTTTTTTTTGTATCAATGTTATTTTTCTTCATGTAGGAAACTTTGGATTTTTTACATTAGCATTCCTTATGTTGTAAGAAGCAGTGAGGACAGAACCAAACCAAGCAGTGACACATCATGTTACTACATAGGGTTACAAGTCTGTAACCCTACAAGTTGGTTTTGATAACTTTCACCTCCAGGACTAATCGGAAGTGAAAAGATTTTAAAAGAGGTAAAGAGGCAAAGCCTTAGCCTGTTACTGTGACAACCTGCATGGTTATTTCAGCAGGGGAGCTTTTGTTACTTCGTGGCAAGATGTCACCTGAAGCAGAGGAGCACGGGGGAACAGTCCGACCTGTACCTCATGGTGGTGGAGGGGCCGTAACATCTGAAGTAGGGGATTGCTCGCTGGAGCTATGCCATCGGTGATGAAGGCTTGTCTGAAATATTGCCTTGGGCATTATGCGAGGTGGACAGATCCAACGTGAACCCTGAAAATAATGGCTAACACAGGCGGCGAAGATACAGGGCAGCAGCTGCACCTAGCTACCCGAGGTGAAGGAGATCGCTGAGAAAGACTCAACGGCTGTTGTTGCACAGCGTGAAGCCAGTACTGGTAGACCAGGAAAAGGGTTGCGTTACTGCGCCTCCGTCTCATCCCAGTGGGACGAGGTATTTCCCAAGATAATCATTCGCTCTTGTTTTTTTTTTTTTTTTTACCATGAATAACCTAGTACTAAGCACCAGGGTTAAAGCCCCTGCCTTACTTTCAGCTGTAGATGCCTTGTCGGTGCTGTCTCCCCTCGGTGCAAACATGACGTGTTTGTGCCAAAGCCCCCCTGGGGACACGTGTCCTCTGTCGGCAGGCATGTCTGCAGTACATTGTGACAATGCATCCAATTGTATCTAGGATCGCCAACAGTCCACCAAAATTGCAACTTTGAATGTTGCAACTCTTCACAGGCATGGTCATCAGGTCGCTGTCTCACACGAAATGGACCGTCTTGGTATATCAATCGCAGGACTAACAGAAGCAAGGCTGATAGATCATGGACGTCACGAGGTGGAAGATTCTTTACTTCTGTATTTTAGCGGCCCCAACCATCTATATGGGGTAGCACTACTACTGCGAGGTGAGGCCGAGTCCTTCCTGACAACCTGGACACCTGTGTCTCCTCGTTTACTTACTGCGCGTCTTAAACAGCGGCACCGTTACCTCACTGTCACAGTAGTCTATGCGCCAACAGAGGAATCTGTTGACTCAGTTAAAGATCATTTCTACGATCATTTGGAACATCTAGTATGCACAGTCCCTCCAAATGATAATCTCGTGATCCTGGGTGACCTAAATGCAGTTACTGGCTCCCTGCAAACTGGGTTTGAACAGTTGATTGGTCATTATGGTTCAGGCACACCCAATGATAACTCTCGCCACTTTCTTACATTCTGTGCCTCCCAGAATCTTTCCATTCTTGGGTCATGGTTCAAGCAACGACGCATACAGCAGATGTCATGCATCTCTCATGGTGGCGTCACTCAGAAGGAGTTGGACCACATCATTACACACAACAGGTGTCTCTTTACCTCCTGTAGAGTATATCATGTTGCGGAATGCGTGGTGAACACAGATCACCTTCTAGTGGTCTCCCGTATGGTGTTGATGCTCCAATGAGCAGGTAAGCCCTCTGCGATGATGAAGAAGTTTTACATCGACGCACTCCATGTGCCAGATTTAGCCAACAGGTTTTGTATTGATGTCAGCAACAGATTCTCAGCTCTAGCTAATCTGCCAGAAGACGTGGAGGTTGCCTGGTCTCTGTTCACTTCTACCCTCAACCAATCTGCTGAGCAGACGATTGGCTATAGGCACCCAGCACGTCGACCATGGCTATCAGAGGAGGCCTTCCAGATAATTAAATTGAAGGCTGCAGCCCGCCAGCGTGGCGATAAGCACACTCGTAATCAGTTGAAGCGAAAATTTAACACCCTGGCACTCCGCGATCACGAGGCATATTATAACCAAGTGGCGGATGATGTTGAATTTGGCTTAGCCAGGGGTGACTTGAAGCCAGCATTCCGTGCCATTCGCAACCTAAGTGGTCAAGAGGTAGTCACTACAAACGGCATCCTGAACGACAGCCAAGGCCATCCATGTAAATCGTATGATGACATTCTCTCATGCTGGGTGAAACATTATCACAGTGTTCTGAACCATCCTCCAGCTGCCACTTGTTCAAAGCTGGATGATCTGGCAGTCACTGCAGTTCCGGATCTAGACATTTGTACTGATGCACCAACACTGGATGAAGTGAAGTATGCCATCGCTAAACTGAAAAATGAACATGCAGCCGGTGCTGATGGCATTCCTTCAGAGCTGCTAAAATGTGCTATTGATCCTGTAGCAGAATCACTACTGGCCATCTTTCATTTGGTGTGGAGAACTGTAACCCTGCCAACCGCCTGGAAGGATGGTATTGTGATCTCACTCTATAAGGGCAAGGGACCACTCAGTGAATGTAAGAGCTACAGGCCATGGGCAGTGTGTGAACCGCTGGCTAGCAGAGGGTAGCAGAAGCTAGCCCCCAGCCCCGCCCCTTCCATCCGAGGCCATGCCCCTTCCGCATGCCCCGGAACTCAGAGCCCCTACCACTGCGGTTGCCTCTGCCCAGGCTGGCTAGTGCCCACAGCCCCCCCCCCCCCCCGAGCGCCCCCTGGAGCCTAGAAGCACCGCCAAAGCAGGGCCTTGGGGGCAGAGTGTGGGTGGGGCCATGCCTGGCTGTTTGGGGAGGCACTGCCTCCCCCAGCCTCCCTTACCTGCTGCCCATGCTACAGGCCGATCACCTTGCTCTCCGTTCCAGGAAAGGTGTTTGCGCATGTTTTGCGGGCATGCCTGGAGCCTTTGCTACATCGGAAGTGTCACCCCCAACAATCAGGTTTTACGAGGAACAGGTCCACGTTAGATGCCATTTTGGCCCTTCTCTTGTCAGAGATACATCGTGAGTTCAGGAAGCCCCTGCACGTAGCGTATGTTGATCTTAAGGCTGCATTTGATTCAGCAGACCGTGTCGCGTTATGGAAGGCCTTGAAGGGCATAGGTGTCCTTACCACTCTGCTGGACTTGATTAGAGAGCTTCATAATGGAACCACTGCCCATGTTCGTCTGTTGAACCGGAGGTCAGTGCCTTTTAAATCAGTATCTGGTGGTAGGCAGGGTTGCGTTCTGGTCCCTGCACTCTTTTGTCAGGCAATGGATTTCATAATATAGCATTCCGTCAGGTCCATAGGCATTGAGGTGAGTGAGAGATCACCAACAGACCTTGACTACATTGATGATGATGATGATGATGATCTTTTAGTACAGAGCCCTGACAGGTTTTGTGAGGCACTCCAGCATAGGAGTCAGCTAAAATTGGTCTCCATGTTTCATGGTCAAACACAATACTGCAAAATCTAGGACCAGGTCCAGCTGCGACTCCATTCTCATTGAACAATGAAACCGTCAAATCGGTTTCCAGCTTTTGCTATCTGGGTTCTATACTTACCAGCTCCTCCAATTCTTACACGAAGTTCTCCATCGGATTGGCATTGCAGCATCTGCCATGTGCTGTTTATAACAGATATGGAATCAACATCATCTTAGTATGAGCACCGAGTCCAGGATTTATTCGAGCTGTATCCTTCCCATACTGTTGTATGGCTGCAAAACATGGACACTACACCACGCAGACTGGACAAAGCTGGAGGCTTTCCACACAAAATGTCAGCATCGTATATTGGGCATAAAGTGGAATGACTTCATCTGTAATGCAGATGTTTATGGTCGTTCAGGTCTACAGACTACTGGGGCCATTGTCCGGAGGCAGTGCCTTACGCTTTTTGGGCATGTCGCAAGAATACCACAAGATGTTCCAGGAAACACTGTTCTCCAGGTGGCTTGTAACATCCAGGATAAAATTCCACCAACTGAGGGGTGGAGGTGGCCCAGAGACAGACCCCCTATTACATGGGTTCATCAAGTCTGTTCTGATGTTGTACTCTCCGTCTGTCAAGCCTTTGCGGTTGCGCAGGAACGGACCAAATGGCGAACTCTCTCTATGGCCGACTGTCTGACTAAGCATTGGGGGGAGAGAGAGTTCATTGGGAGTGACTCTGTCGGGGGGCGGGGGGAACAACTTCTATAGAAGCACAAAAAAAATCTCTCTCTCTCTCTCTCTCCCAGAGATAAATATTTTTTCACACTTGCTGTCTGGTCACTCTATGCCACACCCAAATAGCTGTAATGTGTAGCTCTGTGGAAGGGAAGGTTAAACAACACGGGGAGCCCAATGGCAGGAGTGTGCAGTTAGCAAGTGCTCAAAACAGGGGCGTAGAGTATTTCTCAATTGTCTCTCATTTACCTCCTGGCTACCCTTGTTGGTTGTTCTCTCTTTTATTGCGGCAATATATTTATATAAGAAGTGCTGAATCATGTCTGAGAAGGAACATATTTTTGAAGTGAAACTAGATGACTCACTGTATCACACTATACTCATGATTAGCCAGTGACTAATATCAAAGAGCTTCATTGAACAAAAGCCCTGGATCTAAATCTTAGTTCGGTTTTCTGTTTGAAGTGTTTTTGTTAAAGGTTCTTCGTGTTTGCCTGTTGCTGATATACTGTTTTATAATCGGCTTTGATGACAAGACTATCTGTAACCTCTCACTACAGCAATGGTGTATTGTTTTACACTGAAAATGCTGTGAAGTGTAACCTAAAATACTGAATCACAAGGTTACAGAAAATATTATTTATGTTAAAGAAACAAAATTATTTTTAAGCTTCCCGTAGTAGCTTTTTTGTCCCTCATCTTGTAGTATTTGTCCTACGTCGGACAAGTTTGCCCAGTGTTAAGAACAGGGATCTTACTGACACTTGGGTTCTATTCCTACTTCTCTCACTAGCTCGCTATGTAGGTGATCTTGCACCGGTCACTTAGGCTCAAGTTTTCAAATGTGGCTTCTGATTTTGGGTGCCTCTGTTTTTAGTGGTCAACATGAGACACCCTCTGCCTGACTTTCAGATGTGCTGAGTTACTATTGACTTCAGCTGCGTCTGTGGGTGTTCAACATCTCTGAAAATCAAAATACGGTGTTTCAAAATGAGCTACCAAAAATAGGTACCCAAAATCAGAGGCCACCTTTGAAAAGGTTGGGCCTCTCTTTGCCCCAATTCATAAGCTTTTTAAAATTTTAAAAATGCATTATATTTAAAAATAGGTAGGGTTTGACTTGTTTGTTCCAGCTAAAATTGTGATTTTTGCATTTTTTGCCATGACAAAGTTGTGAGTTTTTTCCAATTTTTTCTATGACAAATAGTCAGTCTTAATTAATTGTATGATATGGGCCTTGGAAACTTAAGAGGTATAAAGAGGCTGAAAAACTACTAATTGTAAAGATAAACACATCAGGACAATAATGATGTAACGAGGACTGTTGTACTAAAAGCAAAGTCTGGATTATTTTATAGTCAGCTTTTCAAAACATAGTGAGTATCAAGAGAATCCAATATCCCATAGGTCATGTTCTAATTAAAATCCTTTCCAGCTTCCAGACAGTCAAGATTGAAAGCCTCAGTTCCCATCAGTATCAAGGAGAGACCACAGATTAGCTACAAGCACCCAAAGCCACTGGATCAATATATGTGACCTTTTCAGACCAGCTCAACTATATTTATAACACTCCAATGAAGCAGTGTTCTGTGAATTAAAAAAATAAAAATGTCATTCCAAAGAGCTCCACAAGGTACAGAGCAGTTTCAGCTCCAGATGGACTTTTCCTGCCAATTGAATGAAAAGCCGCTGTGGCAGCTTTGCAACTCATAAGAAGTGCTCTACAAGAACAGAAATATGTCTTGCTCTGAAATATGTTCATGATGCCAACAAGCTGCATCATGTCAATTTTTTATTGTGAAATATACCAGGTGCCACCATCGGATGCATTCTGAACCATCCTGAAGTCTTGTGTATATGCTTGAAACAGAGCTTAGTCCTGATTCTCAGTCACATTAAAGACCCCCTTATACTCGTTGGCACCAAAAAGCAGCCTTAAATTGGGTGGAACGAGCCCCCAGAGTATACCAGTTGCACTGGGGGCATGATTGGATGGTGTAGCACTGATATGAGGGCCTTAAAATGACCCTGTTCCTAGCCCTTGGATCAGGGATTGGATCGGAGGCATGGTTAGCATGCACTGCACTATCGGTGGGATTTTCAAATGTACCTATGTGACTTTGAACACAAGTCCCATTGAAAGTCGCTGAGACTTGTTCTCCTAAACCACATAAACACTTTTGCAAATCCTGACCTTCAGTTGTTCTTTTCTTTTCAGGGCCCATATGTGGCCATGTGAAGCAGAGTGAAAACTAGAGTAGACCTGAGCCACCTTAACCATGCCTCAGCTGCAGGCATGTGGTAACTGAGAATTAGGCCAGTTGGGTCCACATTCAAAAGTGCTTTTAATGGTGCACAGTTGTTGCCAGTACTTGTGCAATTGCGTTTGCTCAAAGTATGGCTTGCCACTGTTGCAACCTGCATCAAGTCTCTCCTGACCATCGCTGTGGTAGTGCTGGTAGAAATCACTGGTGTGGCAGCTGCACCACTGCATTTGGCATGTCTCCCAGCATGCTTTTATAAGGCTCCTACAACTCTTCTTGCACTTACCCTGTGCAGTATCTCCAGTGCTTCTGACTGTAATTTTATGCATAAAAGTTTTCTGTTCACAGGGTGCAATACAACAGACTCAAGATTTATTTTATTTAAAAAAAGTAAAGAAGCTTTTAATGTAATACTGCTGTTATTCAGTTTTAGATAGCTGCTATCTTACACACTGAATCATGTTATTTAGACAGGCCACAATTCAAAAAACTTGGTATAGCAGCTCTCTAACTGTGGAGATCTGCTTCCACAAACCCCATTTCAGGTATCTGGGTGGGGAAGTCTGGGAATGCACTGGTACTGAAACAGCTAGAGGGAATTCTGTGTGAGATCATTGTAAATAGCTTTATGTTAACCAGATTAGCCAGATTGTGGATACAGTGCACTGATACAAATTACAAGGGCACAACTCTGTTCTGTAGACAAGGTGTTTGGGATTCTCATTCTTTAGTGGTTCAGGCTGCATTTCCACATGCACATAGTTAATCCCAGAATATATTTTTTGGGGGGAAAACTTTTCTTCTACTGTGGCTGGTAAGCAAGGGAAACACATAAGAACAACCCCCCCCCTTGCACAGCTGTATCTTGTGGAGCTGCCAGACAGGGTATGGAGCATGTGTAAATAATTGGCAATTAGTGGGGGAAATACCCCATCCTGCCCTGGGATAGTGTTAGGCAGGATTGTAGCTTGTACCTCTGAGGAAGGCTTAGGTTACTTAATAAAACTTCATGTGGCTGATTTTGAAAAAGAAAGACTGCAATAGATTCTAAGTGGATTGCAGAGCTTCTGCGGGCTTGACAACTAGGGAGGTGTCATTAGCTGGATAAGGAGCCATGTAAGTAAAAAATGAGTAGTGGTGTGTGATTTGAAGCACTATCATTTTCACTCCTCTTACCCTGTCTCTACTGGCTTGATTGTAGTTTAGTCGCATGAGTTCTGCAAACCTCTGTTCATAAAGGTGAAGGAGCAGCACAAGGTAGAGACCTGAATTCATTAGCTCACTTTGTGCCTGTGTGCAGAAAAGAGAGCCAATTTATTTACTGTTACTGTAATGCTGGTTTCTAAAGACCTGAAGGACTAGAACCAGTACTCAGTTACTTCAGCCAGAGGCTATATTACCTACCAAACTCATTTATTAACTCTGAACTATCTTCGTGGCCTGTATTTAATTTCTTAATTACTGTAAGTAGTGACTATCGCATACAATAGCCTAGCATAAGGTCTCTGCACTGACATATGAGTGACCTGGCTTAGACTGGATCAGGAAGCTATCAGACTCCAGGGCCAGCAGGGACTGCCAGCATTCCTAAAACACAACATACTAAGGACATAGGGTTGATGAGAGATTCAACACTGATCTTTGGCAGGCAATTAAAGGAGCAAAAGACTCTAAAGAGAGTCCTGTCTAAGGCTCACCTCTGGATTGGTAAATTCGTGAGGGGCTTGGGGAGTGGAGTGCGGGGGCTAAGGTCAGAAGGGACCATTATGCTCATCTAGTCTGATCTCTGGCATAAAACAGACCACAGAATTTAATCTAGAATGTAACCTGGGATCTTATAGGAAGGAAATTAAAGAGGAGAAAATCAGTTGGGTTCCATACAGCACAAAACAGGAAGAAAACAAATATAAGTTAACTTCTTGGCACAAGTAATGGCAAATCTCAGCTAATAGTTAACAAAAAGATGAAGCTATGCCATCTTAAACTGCTGTATATTTTGGCACATATCAAATACAATACAGATCATCAGATCTAACATGCAAATGAGGAGTGGGCCTTTCCATAATTAGATGGAAGTTCTCCAGGGAAAACCATGAGTGTGGAGAGTTAGCATGTGGCACTCTTCCCTTTCAATGCTATATCATGGAGTGGAGTATGCTATGCTGCTGGATGTTTCAGCTTTCTGATATGATGGAAATTTGAGATCCTGACCATTTGTGGGCATTAAAGATCTCACAGAACTTGAGCAATCATAGGGGTGCTGAAAACCCAGTGTCTTGGGCGCACTCTGGGTAGGTAATTAATTCTGCCTTCCCAAATTCCCCCTCTGTAGCTGAATGTTATTAATTGTGAATCTAATCAATCGGCAGAACAAAATGTAAGAATTATTTTGCCTGGCTTTTGACTATTTTTTTGTTTACGTTTTATTCTATGTAATTAGTGCATCAAGCTGCCACTGGTGAAAAGAATCACTGAAATTAACAATTATAACAATTTCCCCTCCAAATACACTGTATCATATTGCTAGCTCAGAATGACAGCCATCTTTCCAGCCCAGAAGTAGTTACATTTCACTGTTGAAGCAGAGATTTAAAAGAAAAAAGTGATAATTTTTTTAATGGTGCACACTGAATACTAAATGAACCCTTGAAGTTACGAATTATAGTGCGGTTCTAAGCAGCATGTTCTTGATTAAGAACATTGGCTTAAAAATTAAGCATTCAGGTACAGTAGTCCCTGAGAGGCATAGCCTAAACACAGGACCAGGAGACAGGTACTCATCAATTCTAACTGCTTCTCTGAACTTGAGCAAGTCACTTGGTCAAACTTTTTCAACAGCATCCTCTGTCAGTGCTACCAGTGTAATAATCCTAAGAGATGGTCGTTGATCTGGAAACTACAGCCTTCCGGAAAACTACAGCATTCATCTGCATGGCTTAGCACTTACAAAATCTCCTCAAATCGTTTTTGGAAGCTGTATTTTCATTGGTTCTTATGGTGTTTTTGCTTGTTTGTGTTTTTTTGTTCCATTCAGACAGGGAATTATATTCCAAGCCATGATGTTCTCCTCTGTGCTTTCAATGGGTATCTACAGACAATCTCATTCTAAGTGAACCTTTATATTCATATACATTTTACAGCACAATGGCAAATCAATCAGCTAGAAAATAGTTTGGTGGTATCACTTCTGTCAAAGTATGCTGGGAAATCATTTACTTTTTTATAACTAAATAAGGCCTAGAGCGATGCAGATGGGGAAATATACATTGTTTACTGCAAATAATTTGAGAAACACAATCTGGTAGAAGTGGCTATCTTCTACGAATCAGTGGGAAAAACTCTGGCACACTGCAGTATTTATTTAGATTTCTATAAATGCTAAATAGCATATCTATCCATATGCTTTAGGTGCTTTTGGCATAACTAGAATACATCACAAATAATACTTAAAAGTGCATCAGTACAAACAGATATAAATCACAACCAGCAAGCAAGACCTCCCATTACCTTAATTCCCCATCTCTCTCCAACAATTACTCATCCTTACAATTCCACCCGTTTTCAAATGCCTAGGAAAAGAGATGAGCTTTGCAGTATGTCCTTAAATGTGTGAATTTGATGTGTTGAATCATCAAACTGTACCCAATATAGGTACAGCCTGTAATTCTGTAAAACACTCTAAAGTTTGAAAATGGGTGTGTGTGCTTATCACTTTAGTCTGTTTATGGTTCAGTGTGATTATTCCAGAGTGTAGAGACCCTGCTATTTGACAATATGCTTTCTTTCACATATTTTGCCACTCCCCCACCAGCATGACCTACCTTATCATTCCTGTCTCGCTTTATGAACACCGTTTATCTTGTTTCTGAACAAGCTGACCCCATCACCATCTTATAGTAAAGTATTAGCACTCCATGCTTGGAATATTTATCTTCTGGAAAATTAAGCTACTCTTTGGCAGGCATAAACCTAAAAAATACTAAGTCTATTGTATGGATATATACCTATCTCATAGAGCTGGAAGGGACCCCGAAAGGTCCTTGAGTCCAGCCCCCTGCCTCCACTAGCAGGACCAATTTTGCCCCAGATCCCTAAGTGGCCCCCTCAAGGATTGAACTCACAACCCTGGGTTTAGCAGGCCAAAGCTCAAACCACTGAGCTAACCCTCCCATCACTAGTATGATGCTAGGTTTGTTTTCTTACAGCTCTCAATATCCTGTATCTTACTCCTGCATTTTTCTGTTTAAAATAAATTTATTTAACTTGTTTCACAAATAACACTTCAATATTAATAATGGAATGATGTTCAATTCCTTGAAAATAAAAAATCCACCTGAATCTTCTGTTTGTGTATTTTTTAAATTGTAAGATGCTGCAGAGGACAACTAACCTTGGCTAGTCTCCCCCTCAAGAGGCTTGCACACTGCAATGTCATCTCTACCTAGCAAACAAGAATGTTATTCCCCATCTCCAAATGTAATTACAAACTTCCTTCACTCAAAGCCTCATGATACTGGGCAGTTTTGTGAAATGAACTGCGATTATTATTCTCAGACTCCTATTACTCAGGGGCTTTTTTACATTTCTTTAAATCAGCGTAAAGAAGCATATCTCTTCCTTGCAGTTTAGCTGGTTTCAGTGCACGATGGCAGATCATTACACGCACAGAGTACTGCAAGCCAGCAGTAGCAAAACAGGATTACAGGCCTTTATTTGGAAAGAGTCAGTTTCTTACCCGAGACTGTTGGTGATTTCTGTAATAGTCATTCACATCAAAATCATCCAGATCAGCTATCAGGCTCTGCTTACACAGTTCACAGGTTTTCACTGCCCCCAGCTCAGCACCTGAAATTAAATGAGGAATTAAATACTGAACTTGTAAATCCATATTGAGCACAGTGGCTCCGTATATTACAAAATCACTACTATGTGGAACCTTTATTTTTAAGCCATTTTTTTAATCAGTTGCTAGCTTTGAATCTAAATTCCACTGAACTCTATTCTAATCATACCCAGTCTTATGTGAGCTTTGTATAATGGTTTTAAATACTAGCTGTATTGTCTATTACGCTCCATGTGATATATAACCGTTTACAAAACTGTAACGGGTATGGGTTACAAATGCAGGAGTTATGAGATGCATACCTTGATCAATATGGTTTATTTGACATAGAAAAGTAATATTTATGTTCATTTGTTTGAAACAAATGTAAGTTCAATTAATGTAAGTGGCCATTCAGGACCAGATTTTCACAGCATTTCAGGGCCAGATTTCCAAGGCCTCAGCACCCACAACTGGGACCAGATTTTCTGATGAGTTCAGTTCCCATTTAGGTTCCTAAATGAAAGCCAGATTCTCAAAAGTCCTCCACTCCCATTGTGACACTTATGGCCAGACTTTCAAAAGAGTTCAGCCACCAACATGCACCCAGTGTGTTGAGATCTTTCGGAAATCTGGCTTTTTAGTCCAGTGCCTAAATGGAAGCTCAGCTTTTCTGAAAATCTGGCCCTAACTATATGGGCCTGGCCCTTAGGGACCAACTCACTCAAGACTGACAGTATGATGTGAAATACTCTTTTCTCTTGCTTGTTACCTATAAATGTATGTATTGTTATATTGTCAAAAAGCAGAGTTGAAAATGGTGAGTAAGATCTAACTCAGAGGGTCAGTTTTCTTTCTGGCAGGCCATTTCATTAGAGAAGTCTTCGTATCGAGTCCTCTCTCTTATCAACACCCACCGCTTGCTTCTCCAAGTCTTTAATTCCACAAAACGCTAGAAGTCTGCTTGTAGTCCAGGAACCACATTTGAAAAACAACAACTCCACATAAACAGTAACACACTTCTATTTGTATTTGTTTAAAATATTTTGGGCTCCTTCCCACTGAAGTCTGCAGGAATTTTGCCACTGACTGCAGTCTAGTCTCTCTTTGACGACATAGTGAGACCTATACGTTCTGAAACAGAATTTCATTCACTGAACTGGTGGGGATAGTGGTGAAAAAGAGAAAAGGTGCAGGAAAACTCCACCCGAGTCTCAAGTAAAATACACCAATAGCATCCACACCAAGTCTCTTCACTCAAGGCCTGGTCAATAACAACCAAATAAAGGTCCAGTGTGCTGCCTAGTATTTTCACTGGATGTCTTTCCTCCCCTTCCTGCCCTCCCACATCAATAAAGAAGGGAACCAATCGGCTCCAGTTGCTTTCCACCATAAAAATGACACTGAGACACACCTCAATAAAGAGGAGGAAATTAATAAAATCCGTGTTTTAAAAAAAAAAAACAAAAAAACCTCAAGTAGATTTTCACCCCCAAATGGAAGAAATACTAGAGCCTCCATGAAATCCTCTTGGGACTTTGATATTGCCATTGATTTTTTTGTGGAAGGCAGTCAGATATTGTGGTGACGGGTGCCTGTATAAAACTCTAAGATAGAACAATGGGTTCCAGTTGCTTTGGGGCCCACTGTATTATATTTAATATGTGGTTAGTATTGTTTAAAAGCATGTGGCCTTCTATAAAATTTTCTTGGGTATTGAAAATAATCCAAGGTTATTACAGATACTCAGATCAGGGCCTCACCCTAAAGCCAGACACCTAAAAAAAAAAATCCTTTGCTGAGCAAAAGTCCCATTTCTGCCCATCCAAACACATAGCAAGTCAAATACCAAATGAATTTCCAATATACCATCCCAACTCTCTTTCCCCTTGCTAGTGTTCTCTCTCACTCTGGCTCCCAAGCTGCCTGGCTGAACTCTCCCTGAACCCAGGGCAGGATCTAGGGAAGATGAGGGAAGTAGCTCACTCCCCCGGATACTGGGGTCAGTCAGGAATTTGAATAAGGATTAAGAATCTGCATTTAACTGCTACATCCTCTGCTGGTGAAGAGTAAAACAAGGTTGGTGTGGGCTCCTGTCTTCTTGAATCTAAGAAAAGAATTTTTGACACAAATCTAAACAGTAAGTTCTCACAATATATGGAATTAAGTGATAAATTTGCTTATTGTTATCTCTGGAGGCTGAGACCGGTTTCTGTGACTCTTAGATGACACTGACTCCTCTCCTTCATTGCTAGCTGCTAAATTGCACAAATAGACAGCTAAAACACACAAATGTATGCTCAATATTCCTTTTCCATGCAAGCAATGGCTTAATTGACGTGTGATTTCAAATGTAAGGGGGAGTGGTTTACAAGACAATCTTTGTATTAAAATGTGGTCCATATTATGGAAAACTTTGCAAAACCCTGCTTTGCAATTCACATTTATAGCACAATAACGTTGTTGATCTTCATTCAGGACAAGAATAGGAATAGAAATAGAATACCTGGACTGTTTCAATTTAGTATTAGTGTGTATTGACCAAGCTGGGGGATGAAGATAAGGGAAGCTTGCATAGCAATAATTTTCAGTGTACCTTTCTCTAGCTATCAGTTACTTTCATAAGCACTAAAATTCATCCTATGCAGGTTCCTTCTCCCCCATTTCAATATTTAAAAAAAAACGTTTATCTCACTTTATGGATTTGTCATTCAACATGCTCCCTTTCCTCCCCATTAATTAGTCTTACATGTGAAGTTTACGGATCCTACAAATCTGATGTTCACATGATACTGCTGGTAATGTGTAAATCCCTCAGCATTTGATATATATTTTGGCTTATTTTAAACGGTAAACTCTGGAAATTTAGAATTTTAGTTGTGCTCATCTGTTGATTTAATGGCCAGGAGTCTAAGCAAGGCCATCAAATATTTGCAGTTATTTGACCTAACTTTTGCATTGTGGAAAAAGATTACAATGTTGACAAACCTATGGGATAAATTCATCCCTGGTGTAACTCCACTGATATCACCTGGTATAGCTCCACTTATGTCAGGGAGTGATTCCAAAGGTGAATTTGGCCCTCATATGATGAGGTTTCTTAAATTAGTGACATGCTGTTGCACTTGTACTCTTCTCACATTCCTACCTGATTTTATCTTAGCTTTCAGCCACGTTTTTAGACATTCCTGATGAACAAACTGTAGGGTTCCTACGCACCCACATGGTTCTACCAGTGGATTGGTTAAAGAGCCCCCAGCAATCTGACATATCCGACACTGGTCTCCTTCCTCTTCTGAGTCTTCTGCCAGTAGACTAAAGACACAATAAAACAAATCAGAAGTGTTCTTTCACCAAACTCTACAGTCCAACATTAGACTCAATTTATATTTTAATTAACATGTTTTGGACGGGGGGTTAAAGAGGCTTCCCTAAACATCTTTCAGTACATGTCAGTGATCTGAACAAATAATATCCAATGAGTTGCAAGTACTATTCACTGTCAAACAAGGTGTATGGGGGGGGAGGAATCTTGTGGTTTCTAAATCCTTGGGTTTTTTTAAATTTTTGAATCCATGATTGACAGTGTACAGCTCAGAAATTACAGCTGTTTTTATACAAGAACCACAACGTTTTACACTCAACCCCTGCAGAACCAGTTAGGGTGTGGTAGCTAATGTGTACTGCCTTATTTGCAAAGCTGTGCTGTGCTGTGCTGTCATCAAGGAAATAAATGGAATGTAAATTTTTTTTAAAGGGGAAATATATTTTAACTAGAAGGAAAGGGACCAAAACAGTGTATAGGGATGAGAGGACATTTTAATGACTCTCCAATTACAAACAATGGAGAAAAATGTGAATTTTTTTTTTAAACTAAACTACAATCAACACTTCTTGCATGCATCAAAATGACCAGAAAGGATTCATGTTCAAGGACTATAATTCTAAACAACAAAACAACTGAGAACTGGATTGATTTTAGTTAAACTTGGCAAACTCATCATAAACAAATTTTCTGAAGGTGAAAAGGCAACTCAAAAAATACCCCTGCTTTCCTTTTATGGTGATAAAACATGAGACCCTATAGAGTTATATAGAGGTGTCTAAAATGCTGTATATCTTTAGAAAACTGGACAGTCCCCAGGTATACATCACTTGGCGATGGGGTATTTCCTGGTGCTTGTAGAGTATCTAGAGAATCTGTGTCAGAGATCTTTATTCAGGACAGGCTGATTGGAGATTGGACAGATTGAGACAATAGGAGAAGCTTCTATCCCCAGGACTCCCACTTCCTTCCTAGCCTGCCCTTCCAACATGACTCATCTCCCTCTGCTGCTAGTTTTCTAGCAATCCCGGGGGCTAAGAGCTTGCTGGGAGACAGCAGATGGTATTAGGAAGTCAAGCGGGTGCATGAAAGTGGCAGTGCAGCTATCTGGGGCCGGTAGCTGTAAGGAAGTGGGTGAAAAAGCCAGAGTCTGTTACAGCCTAGAGTTGGTGGGTGGGGTTTTCTGGAAAGGGGATGTGGGGGGTGGGAAGAAGTGGACATGTTGGGCTGGAGTAAGGAAAGAAAGGTGGTAGGGGACTGAGCAGGAGCGGCGCCAGGGTTTTTGGCGCCCTAGGCAGGGGTCCTTCCGCGCTCCCGGTCGTCGTCGTCAATTCTGCGGCAGGGGGCGGGGTCCTTCCGCGCTCCCGGTCTTCGGGGCACTTCGGCGGCAGGTCCTGGAGCGAGTGAAGGACCCGCCGCAGAATTGCCGCCGAAGACCCGGAGCGTGGAAGGACCCCCCCCCCGCCAAATTACCGCTGAGGGCGGCAAAATGCCGCCCCCCCAAATCCTGGCGCCCTAGGTGACCGCCTAGGTCGCCTAAATGGAAGCACCGGCCCTGGGACTGAGAATGAAACAGAGCTGTTGTTGGAGATGGAGGTAGAGAGGAGGAGATGAGTTTATTCCTCTATAGTCATTTTTCAGTGCAGCATACATAAGGTTTGCATGTCTGTAGTATTCTAAGGGTTAACACCTTTTGAAATAAAGCATCTTTGTTCTTTTAAGGGTCCAGTTTACATTCTGGTACTACTGTATGACTCAGAGCTATGTCACTTCTCTTAAGTGCCAAAACTGAATATGTGGCCAGTTGGTTTATGTTCTGGGGGAGTGAAGAGATGGGATGGAAAGGCACATTTTCATGAAAACATCTTTGTTCTTAATTGTTGAAACAACTGCTTGAGAAAAAGAGCAGCTTGCCGATTACAGTCAGCAGCAGGAAACCCAGAGTTGACCAATACGCCTGTATCAGAAAGTCTTTTCAGTCAAGGAAATTACAGTTTTAGGGAAGAAAGTGAAGAAACTGGGTCAGCTAACAAGTTTTTAGAACAGACAATCCTCTTAACTTCCTTAGCATCTGTATGGATGTCTTCTTTTTATCTATATTCCTTGCATAACCAAAAACTTGGTCTAAAAGAGATTAAGGATGGCTATGATACCCTAAAAAGCAAGAAAATAATAAGCCGAGCCACCTCTTAACTATATCCTAATGCCCACACAGCACATTTCCACTGACAGTGACAGACTCCAGATCATCCAAAGGAATTTACTTCTGCCTTCAACTGATAAAGAAACATACTGCAAAGAACACATTCATCTCCTTCACAGTATTACACAAACCTTAATTACAACCTCAGCAACATTAGCAAATATTCAGGGTTGACACAAGGTAAGAGTCGTGTGTCAGAACCATCAGGATGCAAGCTATGTTTTGCTGTAGTAAAATGGCAGTTATCTTCCACAGCCTGTGTTCCATTGGAAACAACGAGAAGTACTGCCATTTTTACTAGTGGGGCACGTGTGTGTGTGTGTGCGTGCACACACGCCCTACTAAAACTGATGGCATAAGCAGCTTCAGTGTCATTGTAAGTTATGAAAAATGGCAAGCATTTGAGTAAGGGAAAATTGTAACTATAATGAGCAATATGGGGGGAGGGAAAGGAGTTACTACCTAATTCTTCACCTGTGTACACAAAGGTAGCTAGCAATGAGTTTTAACCATATGGAAATTTTCAAAGATTATAAAATTCAGCCATTTATTACCAAAGGGGATCCAAAAGGTCAAACACCGAGCAACCTTAATATAAACAAATACAGAGCTCTCCACAGAGAGATTCCACAGAGCTCTCCATTTAGCGATAGAACTGCATGTTACTGTGAAATCATGGATGTGTATAATTATACTGTTATGAGTTAAGCCAAGTCTCATTAAAATTAGGGTATGCAACTGCCATCCTTCATTTAAGATAGCTGTAAGAAACAGTCAGATCCTTTTATAGAACAGTAAGTCTCCACCCCAAACAGAAGTGCATGTCGCTGCCCAAAATACAGGCACAAGCACATGTGAGGTTGCTCGGGAATTTGAACTAATTGGGTGGAGGGGGGGCTTCCCAGGGACTGTTTTAGTAGAGTGGTGTGTGTATGTGAGAGAGAGAGAGAGAGGCAGGAGAAACCCCACAGAAGAAGAAGAAAGCCAGGTGCAGCCTGAACAAGCACAGAGTATGGCCCTGAGAAAAACCTATAGAAAGAGCTTTTAGGCTGAATGCTGGCTGAATGGGCTTGGAGCTGTGAGCAAAGAAAATATCGCCAGTTGTTTGTTTCCTTCTGTGTTCAGGGAAACAGGACTTTGTATGTTCTTTGGAAATAAAAAGGATTTCTTCAAAGATACCTGCCTCCATCATCAATTTCTTCTCCCAATGGAAACAACCCACAGGGCCTCAAACTTTGGCTAATTGCTCATGTCAAAAAGGTAACGATACATATTTCTCACCTCTCCTGCAGTTTCTTAAGCTTCTCTGGGTCTGCATGTTTGTTTATTTCCTTTGCACTTGTGGTATCACATGCTGTAATGCTGCTCATAGCACTACTTTGATTTTGTAAATCAGACACTGCCAGCAAAGCAAGTGGTAATTGATCATGTAAAGTGCCAGCCATGTGAAGGTGGGCTGTGAAATTCGTTTGAAACAAAGATGGGCTGGAAGAATCTATAGATAAAAAAGAACTATGTGAATTTAGTAAGTTCTCTTCATCATGTAAGGCAGCATTTGCAGATGTACTCTTTAAACCATTATCTATACTATCATCCAGTAGGCTATTATCTTCAGGTGTACTGACTATAGGTGATGAAGATTCATAACTTTCTGTAGCAGAAAAAGAATCTCTACTTCTTATAGGAGACAAGGGTCTACGGACACTAAACCTTGAACTTCCATCCAAATCCAATACTTGAGATGGTACAGTTGTCGAGCTCAAATTTGTTGAGACCTCAGCTCTATGAGCAGATTGTATTAATGATCTTGGAGTATTATATGCAGAATACAATAATGGTCTATGAACTGTTGACCTTGCAGAAGTAAGGAGATCAGTATAACGCCTCTGGTTGCTTTCATAGGCTTGCAATTCTCTGTTATAAATATTGACGCTAGGCCTATCTATAGAGCTAATGTTATTAAGAGTCTCAGCAATAGGTGCGCTGCCTGGTCTGCTTTCAGCTCGTGAGCTTCTTGAACTAAATAATGGAGTTTCATTTTCATTGCAATCAGCACCTTCAGAAGAATTCCCATCTGGAGTGTAAGACTTTCCATAGTCCCTAAAGTTTCTTCGCCTTAATGAAGACTGTTCAACAGCTGTGTCCATTACATTGGGTTGTCTTAATGGTTGATGAGAAGATTCAACTCTTCTTGATGAAATGCTTCTATCATCTCCAGCTTCTTCAGAGTTACATTGTTCATCTTGTGCCAAGGATGTTCCACTAAATTTCCTAATTTGTTCTAGAGGAGTAGGAGAGTGATTTAGATTGAAAGAAAGGAATTCCTTCTCTAGTAAATCATCATCTTTAGTATCATTTTCTTCACAGGACTCTTCCATGTTTAAGCAAAGCATAGAATAAAAGTTTTCATCTCTAAACCTCAAAGGGGCCATTTTAGTGGGTATAAAAGATGGACCATGTGACTCATTTGAGACAAAGGAACCATGAGCTCCTTGCAAGGTAGATGCAGATGATAGAGTTGGAGACTGCTGATCCTGTGGAAGGACACTTCCTATTTTGCTATCTTTGTCTAGACCTTTACGATCGAGATTTAGCTTAGAAGACTGGATTACATTCCTTTTCTCTTGCGATCTCTTCTTGTTCGTGAGCATAGTTTCATTTGTCACTCCTAGATCTGCAGTGAAAACAAAATCAACTTTCAGCATTTGATCCTTTTTGTTTCTAGTGCCTAACACATGCTCTAAGTGGCTATTTCTTACCACTGCTGTTCTGGTATTGATGTTATGACACATTCAGTTATAGGTAACTGCAGTTCTAGTGCCCTTTAACACAATTAGTAGACTTTATTCATAAACTCTTCTAGGGTTCAGACAAGAAATCAATATTACTTTGCTATCTGGACACCTGTAAGACCATATAAAGGAAATTCATAAATCATGCTAAATGGTGCACTGGCACTTCTGGAGGTCCAATTAACACATGTCTCCTTCCCAGCATAAATATTGTCACACCTACTACTTGCATTCAATGTGTAGTTCCAGAAGGAACTGCCCTTTTGTGATCAACAGAAATTATCACGTTTTAGATTTTTTTTCTGTTCAAAATTTATAGTAATTATTTGTAAATAGCATCATAGCACCTCTGTCTAAGGCTTTCAAAGCTCTTCACAAATTGAGTAGGTATTACCCATGTTTTACAAATGGAAAAAGTGATACACAGAGGTGAAATGACATGCCCAAAGTCACACAGCTTATCAGCAGTAAATATGCAAACAGACTCTTGGTCTCCAGATTCCCAGTCACCCATTCTAACCACCAAATAATGCTCCTTCCCACGTGATGTGTACTGTTGGTGAAAGGGGTCAGAATGACATCCCTGAAATCCTCTGTGCCCATTAGTGACTGTATCGTAGAGGATCACCCACCTGTAGGGAGTTAAGAATAGTTCGTTCTCCAAGAAACCATCTAATTCTTGGTTTCTAAATGCAACATAAAATGCCAGTTGTGGTCATAGCAATTGTTTCTAACATGGATGCCTAGAAACAGGACTGAGACATGCTGATTTCACAAAGACCACTGAACAACAATCAATCACTTTTAGTCACCATTAACCTAGCATGAATGAGAATCAAGGACCAAGACCTGAAAAAGATTTCTGATATAGCCTGTCCTCCATTGCAGTATCCAAAATAGCCAATTTAGTTTGGCTAGAAGAGGGCAGACCATCAGTCATAATGGAAGCCATCCTTTGTCAAAACTTTCCAAGTATGAATAAAAATGAGTAAGAAAATGGAACTAGATCCTGTGTCTATTGTAACATCTTCTGACATTACATGAGCGTGTTAGGGGATAAGCAAAGAACAGCTATTAAGGGCATTGTCTAATAAAAGTGCATAGGCTTACCACTGCTTCTTCTCTCTAAATTACAAGCAACTTCTTTCTGGGAAGTGCTCCTACAATTCCCATTGACTTTAACAGGAGAACACAGATGCATCCAAGGCCGGGTTTAGTCCTATATTTCTTGGTTTTGGAAAGGATTTTCCATTTTATCCATGACCATGTGCTTTTTATTTCTTTTATCACAGTACACAGTATGGACTCAGGGAGAGTAATGGCTTTTAGAGGAGGAAAAACAGATTGTGTTCACCTCAGACTTTTCACAAATCACTAGGCTGTATCTGCCTCTTCTTCCTATCATGTTATTCTACAATTAAGAAGAATAACATGGTAAGAAGAGGTGAGACAAAGCACATGAGGGGCAAAATTCAGCTATCCTATTATAAAGATATTGGTGACAGGTGTGGTGTTAATGAAATTGTTTAATTAAACTGACCCAATAGTGAGAGGAGAAGAAGGAGCAAGGGAGAGAGAGAGGGGCTAGGTCTACAAACAAGACAGAGCTAATAGCTCCTGAATTCTAATGAGAGAGGAGCGGTGAGTGACTTCTTCTGGGGCTTTGGTCAAGTCACTTAAGTCAACATTTTCAAAAAAAGCTTCTTATTTTGGATGTCTCCGTTTTTGAGTACTCAGCTACAGACATCAATGGACTGATTTTCAGAGTTGCTAAGCATGAGTAGCTACCATTGACATCAACTATAAAAAAAACAACAACTGAGGAATACAAAATTAGTGGACTTCTGAAAATGTGGACATTAACATATCTGCCTTGTGTTTACCCAATTTCCTAGGGATAGGGAGTTGAGGATTAATCACCTTAAAATTTTTAAGCACTTGGATAAGCACTAAAGGTACATTCTACTATATATTTTACATTTTTGTTTTTGTTTTTTAGTCTCTTTGGAATATGACTTTTCTACAGATCACCAGATACTAAACCTAGGATATTTATATGTTTAAATGTTAACAGTCAATTCTCTGACTTTTTACTGAACAGATATTCTTTATAGTAACTATTTAAGGTGTTAAAATGTGTAATATACAGTACAGAATAAACGCTGCTCGGGTGGGACATTTCCCATAAGGACAGCAAGATGAATGCGTGGCTCCACAGATGATGTTGACAGGAGGGCTTTTGTCTTCCTCAACTATGGGATGTTCCAGGAAAGAGGACTGCTGGGAAGTTATGGGGCCCCCCTGACTAAGAAGGAGAACAGCATCTTCACACATAACTCACCAACATATTGAGTAGAGCACTGCAACCTGGCCCGAACCTGACAGGACCCAACTACAAGTGTCAGGTCTGGGTCAGCTGGAAAAGCAACCGATGCTTGGATCCTGTCTGCTCTCCTCCTCCTACCCATGGGGTTGGTGCAGTGGTGGCTTTGTGCACCGCACTTGCCAGCTGCTGCCACCTTGCCTCACTGTCTGTGCTGTAGTATGCATGTACTGATAAGTCACAGTGCCTCTCGTGCTGCAGCAACATAGCACAGCAGGGGGTAGTGGCTAGCAATAGGGCATGTAGCTGCCGATTCCATAGGCAGGAGGAAACGTTGGTGCTGACTCAGGAGAGAGAGGATGGGACGGGCTGGAAAATGACTCAGCTTTCTCAGGCTCGGGTCAGTTGGGTTTCGGACTGGGTTGGGTTTAAAAACTAGACCCAAACAGACCTCTAGTAGTGAGCAGGGCTTTAAATTGGGTTCAAAGGAGGCAGCTGACAAAAGCCCATAAGTAGGTTTAAAAATGGTAACCTTTAACAGAGAGCTAAATGTTGGGGGTGACGAGGAATGGAAAATTACAATAGTCATAGACACAGCAAGAGGGATAACAGTGGGAGAATCTGCTCAACATCTTACATATTTATAGACAAAAGCAAGTACACTTCTACCTCGATATAACGCTGTCCTAGGGAGCCCAAAAATCTTAACGCGTCATAGGTGAAACCGCATTGTATTGAACTTGCTTTGATCCACCGGAGTGGGCAGCCCCGCCCCCCTGAAGCGCTGCTTTACCGCGTTATATCGGGTCGTGTTATATCGAGGTAGAGGTGTAGTATGGGGAATGAACAGGAGGAACTGGAAGTAATACTATAGAAACTAAATTATGACTTAATTGGCATCACAGAGACTTGGTAGGATTACTGTAATGTTGGTATAGAGGGGCATAGCTTGTTCAGGAAGGACAGGCAGGGACAAAGAGAAGCGGTGATGTATTAGATATCAAGAGTACAAATACTTGTTCTGACGTCCAGAAGGAAGTAAGAGGCAGTTTAGCTGGAAGTCTTTAAAAGGCGGGGGGAGGAACAGGGACAATGTCATGGTAGGGATCTGTTCTAGACCACCAAATCAGAGGAGGAGGTGGGTGAGGCATTTCTAGAACAAATAACAGAAATATCCAAACATAAGATGGGGTAGTAATGAGGAACTTTAACTACCTAGCCATCTGTTGGAAAAGTAATATGGCAAAATACAAAATGTCCGTTAAGTTCTTTGAATGTATTGGTGACAACTTCTTGTTTCAAAAGGTAGCAGAAGTAACCAGGGGGACAGACGTTTTAAACTTGATTATGATCGAGAGAGAGGATTTGGTTGCGAATCTGAAGGTTGAAGGCAATTTTGGTTGAAAGGGATCATGAAATGATAGATTTCATAATTCTAAGAAAAGGAAGGAATTAAGCAGCAGATAAGGACAATAGACCTCAAACAAGCAGACATTAACAAACTCAAAGAACTGGTGGGTAAGGACCCATGGAAAGAAAATCTAAGGAAGTGGTTCCCAAAGTGGGGTTCATGAACCCTTGGGGGTTCATGAAATGTATCAGGGAGTTCTCAGAAAAAAT